GGAAAATTCATATTTTACCTTCATAAATTCCACTCCTACCAAGCCATCCACAAGGGTTACTGACTGTTTGGGTGGGGGTGGGGGGAAAGAAATGCATCAACAGAGATAAAAGTAAAGTTATATAAGTGGTAGTACATATTTTGTATTTCATGGTACACACAGTTTCTAGAATTTTATAATCAGGTACTATCTGTGCGGGCCGGGAGCGACCCAAGCCCTTTTCCGTGCTGCACGCGGGCTGTGGCCAGCAGCCCGGGCACGCCGGGTCGGAGAGGGAAGGCCGTTGAGCTGGAATTAGGCACAAACGCTTAGCGGTAGTTTAAAAGATTGTTTACTTACACCGAGATGGCAGTGGTGTAGGCTGGAAAACTTGCTTGAGTTGCGGTTACAGACAGACAACACAGACGGTCTCGTGGAGGTTGCTAGGCTCCACGGAACAGAGCTCCGGATGATCTGGGTGAACGAGCCACCAAAATCAGAATCGTAGGTATGTCTTATAAAAGTTGCGCTCGAAGACGGGAAGAGGTGGGCGATGGATCAGGTCGCCAAACTCCTCTGAATCTCACACAGGGTCTCTATTACCCTGCCGTGTATCCAGAGTCCCCACGAGATGGATGTGGAGTCCTCTTCGGCTTGGGCGGAAACTGCTCCAGCCTCTTATACGGCTAACAGGCCAATCGTTAGCCGCCATGTGGGAATAATTTAAAACTAGCCAATAGTGGGGAACGAATTTACATACCGGTGGCGGGGAACTCTTTTGCACCGTGCATTCCTCTTACAACTTGAGCAATGCACTCTGCAAAAGAAGCTGCAGAAAAGGCAGGAAACTCGTCCCTGCACCGGGGTTTTCCTCTGCAACAGGAAACTCTCCCATGCAATGAAGCTGCAACTTGGCGGGGATAATTCTGGTGCCGAAGCACACACAAAATCATGCCTTTGGGTCATGACACTATCCATCTTAGATAATACAAAGCATTACTACAGAACCGTAACTGCATTTACTTGTCATTGTATACATTTCCTAAATTTCTCAACACAAACACACATCATAGCCTAACCTTACTGTTTCTTTCATTTTGCCGTACATTGCTATGCACCATTTTCTTGCCCTCTGCCCTCACCACTTTTTTTACCTTTGCTGTCACAAACATATTCCCAAATACAGGTACTCCTCATTTAACATTGTCCCAGTTAAGGTTGTTTCATTATTTCATCGCTGATCTATTAGATCATACTCATTTAAAGCTGCGCAATGTTCAGTTATAACATTGGCTGCCGCCTGCTAGTAGGTAACTACTGTAATGCAACTGGATTCACTTAACATTGTTTCGCTTAAAGTCGCATTGCTCAAGAACGTAACTACGACATTAAGCAAGGAGTAGCTCTATATGCTCCACCATTGTTTTTTTGCCATTTGGAGACAGGAGGTCATGGAAATGTAAAGCAGTACAAACATCTCAATAAGCTGTTCTCAGCTGAATGAGAAACTGCAGGAGAGAAACACTGCCTGAAATAACTCAGGGGTAAAGTATTCCATTCAGCGTAGTAGGTGTTCTCAAGTTAGCCCACCCTACCAAAGTTTCAAGAGCTTTTGGGCCTATGCCAAGCACCAAGAATGCCAGTCCTCAGTACTGTGTTCTTGATTCATGCTCTGATTCTGCCTAGTGTCAATTCTCAACTACAACGCCAGTACTCTGTGTTGCATAAGCACTGAACATGCATGTTTTCAGCTCCTTGATATATCCCAGTTCTAAAGTGCCTACACCGTGCAGTTAACATGCTCAGTCTTTGCTCTACATCCCAGTCTAAGAACTTGGGCATGTTCTGAATGGAAGACAAATGTGTGGTCTGCTGTAGGAAGGTTGGGGGAACACCACTGAAGTCTGTTCTACTTCAGTACTGCACAGCTCTCACCACCTTCTTTCCTCTTTACACTCTACTCAACTGCTCAAATCCCCTCTTTTTCCCACAGAAGCTTCAGCATCAAGGGGAGAGTTAAGCTAGAGTCTGTTCCCCTCTACTGAATGAAGCACAGAGAAGATGGGGATTTCCAGGTTGCTTCCATGATTAAGAAGCAGTGGAAAGAAAGAGATGGCCTGCACTTGGCCTGGTACAACAGCTATGGGAAGAAACTGAAGGGGAGCACTTTCAGTAGAGGCCACGGATGCTTACACTCTCTAACATGTCACTGGAGAGGAGAATATCCATCCACAAGTGAATTTGCTATCAGCATTTCTAAGCTCCCAGACAGCAAAAGCACATGTATGTGTTGAAGAATTGTAGAAAAATAAAAACTTCGAAGTTTTTTGCGCAGGTCTAGTCAAGCTGTGTTAAAAACAACTGGGCTAGGGACAGAAGTTACAAATAAACTGGTTTAAGTGATCAGAAATTGGTTTAAACCTGTAACAGAACATAAGTTCAGTGCACATAAACCAGTTTCAAAATGGCCGAGACTAATTTAAGAGAAACTTGGTTGACTGTAGCATCAGAGTTAACTGATCTGGGTCAAACTGGTTTATGCAACTTCTATCCCAGACCCCTTCCTGGTTTAAGTTAAACCAGAGTCCTCTAGCATCCCAGCATGCTCTGCAGCCCTGGGCTAGGCTGTGCTCTCTGCTCTCTAGCCAGAACAAAGGCAGAGACATAGCCAGACGCATCCCAGAATGGCCCTGTTAAAGCAAAGTGGGCACGGATGGGGTTAATTCTTCCCTCCTTCCCCCTCCCCTCCCCCACAGTAGTTGAGTGGCAGAGGGTGGCTGGGGCTTGTAGAACCCAGCTGTGATCCCCAGGGGCAGAAGGGACAAAGGGAGGAATTATAGCCCCCCCTTTACCTTAATGGGACCATGCTGGGACAGCAGCTGGTCATGCCCCTGGCCCAAGAGCAGTGAGAGGAGGGGGAGGGGAAGAAGCAGCAGCCTGTCAGGGTGCCCCAGAGAGTGCAAGCACAGAGGGGGTTTATTCCCCCCATCCCTTCTCTGTCCCACTGGCAGGGACCGCAGCCACCCCAGCATGGCCCTGTTAAGGCTAAGGATTCAGGGAGGGGGTTAATTCTGCCCCACTTCCACCAAGGGACCTCAGCTGGGGCAGAGCAGCCCATTCCCACCCCCCCTGATTGCCAGGCAGGGAGTGGGACTTTGTCCCGGCCCCAGAGGGGGGCCCCTTCCACCTTCTCCTCCCCCCAGCCACCGTGGCGCAGGGTAGTGGGTCTGTGCGGCACTGACCAGCCTGGCCCAGCCTCGGCGCAGGGAGCAGGTGTCACTGAGCTGCTGGATAGGGCCCCACCCCCGCAGCCTGGGCCCACCCTGCTCAGCCTTGGCTGAGGCAGCCTCATAGTGGGGCTGGCTTGGGGCAGGCTGCGGAGGCGGGGACCTTCCCAGAGGCTTCGACTCAGTGACAGGGAAGTTGAGCCCTGTCAGCAACAGCAGCACCCAACCCAGGTAGTTCACTGCCCAGTCAGCTGCTGCCTGTGCGCACTGGGCCAGGCTACTCTCACTGACAGGTCTCAGCTTTCCTTTCACTCAGCCACAGCTGCTGGGAAGGGTCCCACCCCCACAGCCCTGACTCCGCTGGCCCCACCATACGGCTGCCTCGGCCAGGACTGAGCAGGGCCCTCTCGGGTTGTGGGGGCAGGGCCCCTTCCAGTGGCTGTGGCTCAGTGACAGCCGCTCCCCATGCACAGGCTGGGCCAGGCCGGGCAGCACCGTAGAGCTCCCCACCCCGCAGCAGTGCGGAGTGGGAGGAGGGGAAAGAATGCCCTTCTGGGGCCAGGAAGCACTGCACAGAGCCCCCCTGTCTGCCTTGTGGTGGCAGGGAAGAGGAGGGGGAGTGGGGCGAGTCTCTTTCCGGGGCCAGGCAGCAGAGCTGTGTGCCCAGATTGCTCCCAGCTTTCAGAGAACTACTGCGGTGGGCAGAACTCTCCTTCTGCCCCTCCTCCTCCGCCACAGAGGTCTGGCCATGCCCCTGTCTGGCCATACACCCTCTTCCCCCACCCTCCGAACCCTGCAAGCCAAGGTGAGGGTTTAAACCCCTCCTCAGTCTTACTCAGGCCTGTCCAGGCTTGGCCATGTCTCCTGCCCCGGCTCAGCTTCCCTGCAGAAGGGAAGGGAGGGCTGCTCTAGTGCCCCCAGTCTTCTGGCCTGAGCCACTACAGGCATGTGGCTGCATTTCCAGAATGAAAAGTGAATGTCTATCTACTTGCAAATTGGTTCCATCTTTGCAGGGTAGGCTAACCTGCAAAGACTGAACCAATTCGGGCTTGGGCTTTTTTAATGTGTCCCTAGCCCAGATGTTTGAACTATCCCTTTCACTGAAAAATATTTTTTCTAGGGCTATGCTGGCCCCTCAGCTGCCATGTCATAGCATAGTTCTGCAGAGGGAGGTCAACTTGTGAAGGGGAACAGGCCTCAACCTTGAATCTTCTCTCTCAACATCAAACACCTTCTGTACTGCTTCAACACCAAAACACACATTTCCTCTAACTATTCTGCATCCCATCCCATATTCCCTAATTCTGCTTTAAAAATATATAGGTATGTGGAAATTCACAAGCCTTTCTTGCTTGGTGATGGGAGGGCACAGATCAGGAACTTTGTCCAAATGATCCAGCAATTTGTTTTTCTTTGATCACCTCAGTCACAAAAAGCTTCCCAGAATCTTTCATCTTCCCTCTAATTAATTAATGGAAATGTAACTGACGGCAGAATCACAGAATAGTAGGTGGAAGGAACCTCTAGATGTCTAGTCCAACCCCATGCCTGAGGCAGGATCATCCATATACGAACCATCCCAAGAAAAACTTTATCTAATCTGTTACTAAAACTACAGTCAACCCTGTCACACAATAGCCTGGGGACAGTGGTGGCCAGTGGCTGCTGCAAGAGCTGTTAAAATACATTTGAGAGATCCAAGGAAATGGGTCACCCTCCACCCCCAACAGAAGAAGGCAAAAACCCCCATGGTCCATACACCAATCTGACCATGAGGTAAAACTCCTACCTGACCTCAAAATATTGCAATCAGTCTGACCCTGAGCGAAAGGGCACGACCCTCTAGCCAGGGACCTCCAGGTTTTCATCTCAACAGGAACATTGCTGCACCCCAGTCAAAATCTCCAACCTGGCTGCAGCTAGCACCCAATGCTTCTGTGGCAAATAAAAAAATAAAATAAAGATCCCCTGATGCCTGCAGCAACAGGAGGAAGGAAAATAAATCACTTCCAACCCCATGTAGCAACCAAGAAAAGTCTAGAAGCATGGGAAATACCCACAATAAAGCATAAGCACAGTTGAACCTACATCTTCCCTGACAAGCAGTTGTCTAACTTCTTCCTGAACAGCTCCAATGATTAAAAATCTACCCAACTCAAGGACACAGTCAGCCAATTCACAGGGCCAGCTGCCACTTTTGTGGGTTAATTGTGCTGGGCCCCTCATGCCTCCAACTGGCCGAGAGGCCCTAGTGGCTCTGCCCCACACCACTGATTGGTAGACAGGGCTGTCTGTCATGCAGTCCCACCCTCGCCACTGGGCCCTCTCAGCCTATTAGCTGAGATCTTGCAGCCATCTTGCTTGCTCACCTTCATGCCAAGCTGTGTGGACAGCAGGATTCCTGGGTCCCACTGGGGAGCCAGTATTTTATTTTTAATAAGGTTCCCGCTCCCAACAGATTTCATGGATATCGCCCAATTTTGTGATTTCTGCAAAATCTGAAATCACAATTTGAGTAGGACCCTACCAATGATGGATACACCTAGGCAGTCTGTTTCACTGCCACACTATTCTAACACCCAAAACCTACTTTACGGCAACTTCAAGCTATTTGTCCATATCCTGCTCTCTGCAGCACAAGGGAAAGTACTTTTCTTTATGACTGTCTTTCAAATATCTGAAGACTGATATCATGTCCCCTCTTTTCTATAAGAGGAACATGCCTGCTTTTCTTTTTAAATTTAAAAAGAGACTGCATCCGAGTATTTTTAAGTGCTCTAAGAATTACTCAAGTCAGAAAATTTAGTCTCTGAGAAATATTTCCAAGACAAATTCCTGCAGAATGCAGAAACATCTGTAATACCAACACCAAGGGTAGTGCTTAAACCAGGATGAATAAAGCAGAGAATGTATTTAAATAAGTATATATATCATTTTTTTTAAATGTCTATCTGATTTTACAAAAAACTCCAAAGGCTGAAACTTACTACACTCTATTAAACCTTTAAATTAAATATTAAACAGTAAGCATTTGCTGCTGAAGTTTTAATGAACTGATAGAAGTAATTGGCTAAGCATCTGGAGCACCATGCTGTGTTTACATTTTTTGACATCAGTAGCAGGTGCAAAAAGAACATTTTTTTTTCCCAGGTTATTCGACTAGTTCTGTTCAACAATTAGTTCATTCAAAGCAGAGAAACTGAAGGTTGAATAAGCAGAAAAACCCTGGACTTTTACTCATATATCAGAGGAAGAAACTACATGCGAGAGGATGAAATCTTCTAGTTCTAAAATCTTGAAAGACATACTAACCAGATACAAGTGGAACTTAAAAAAAAGTATTGTTTGTAATTAGTAAGTCAGTTTTACATACTAGCTTTCTTGATACATTTTCTTGTGTATTCAGCACATTTGTGATAACTTTATTTAAGAAAATGTAAATGCTGTTTTCAAGCATATTTATTTGAATCCCAATCTCTACAGTTTGATATAAATCACAGGTAAAATATTAATCACTTAATAAAAAAAGAAATGCATCATTCATCATATTCTAACACAATAAAAATGAAAAAAATAAAACCGTATAACTGCTTAAATAAATGTGTAAATTACATACCCTCCTGATCAGCAGAAATACCAAATTATATTTAAAAGATATTTTTATTTACAAATAGGCATGTGTTAATGATTGCTAGTTAGCATTAACTTTTCTTTTGGAAAATAAAGTACTAAAATAACAAAGACTAGTATTTTGGGGTCCCCCCCTCAAATCAAGGTTTCCTGTCAAATTATTTAAATCATTGTTAAAATTAATTATTTAATCCATTTATCCTGGCTGTGAGTTATTGTGCCTGGCACGGTCAAGTTAAATGAGCATAGCACATCTTATGGCCAGCCAGCTTCTGTGACAACTGCATAGAAGCCCTCTGTTAGCATAGCTAAAGACTTGAAGAACAAATGGTACTCAACTTTTGAGCCCATAGACTAGATGAGCAACATGGGACCAGTCTGTGGACTGGGTTTGGTACACAGAGTTGGGCCCTGCCCTGCAAGCAATTGGACCCAGCCCCATGCACCAGGATCCAGCGCTGCGCACCCAATTTAGCATTGCAGGTCAACGCTATCTGGCCCATCAGGCTCCCTATGGATCCAGAAATTTCACTGCACAGAGAGTCAGTTATTGCTTCCTCTACTCCCCTGCCACCCAATTTTCAGACCCACTGGGGGCTTGATGGGTTGGATGACACAGTTCCAAGGACCAGAGCAGACCCGCAAGCCAGAGTTAGAGCATCCTTGTGGTAGCATCTATAACACTGTATGCTATAGTGCAACTGCCACCCTCAAATTCCTGACCCCTTCAAAAGTCCCAAAGAACATGATTAGCACCCCTGATTTAGTCAATCAAAGGTTGCTGTGCACTGGAAAACTCAAGTGATAAAGATACTTGTGGAAAATGAACCTCAGGTGCTTGCAAAAAAACTAAAAAAAACCCCCAAATTATTTGGTTGGGAGAAGGAAAGCCTTGCTCCAATTGAAATTCCTTGCTCAAATGAACCCAAATTTGGACTACTAGCCCTATCCTATTACAGGTACCAGAAGTGTTGAGACAATTCAAGTAAGCACATGATTTTAGATAACTCAGAGTAACTTTCTTTTAAAAACACTAGCCAATTCTCAACTTCACAGCAGAGCTGCTAGTGCAGTATAGCAATATGTTACATAGTTTTCTACAGTAAACTGAGGAGGGTTAGAGCAGGGATCAGCAACTTTTTTGGCCAGTGCCAAAAATACCCACAACATCAACTTGTAAGATGTTGGCATGTCAGGGGAGGACGGTAGGGGAGCCACCAGAGGTCTGATCCTTGTTGTGGCAGTGCAACCCCAGCCCCTTCCCCACCGTCCGTGCCAAGACACACATGCCAAGCAAAATGCCTTCATGTACCACACTCTGGCAGCTGTGACAGGGGTTGCCTACCCCTGGGTTAGAGTACAATTTTGTTTACTACTAAATAGGTTTTGCTTTGGTCACTTGTACCTTTGCCCAGCAACAAACCCAGACAAGGTACAAGAGGGAGTATTTTTAACTTTGTCTACACATACAAGTTGGCTGGAAAAACTACTGCAAAATAAGCCCTATACAGTGTATCTTCTCAGAGCAAAATTAAATCCTTAACTCAAAATCAGCTAGCTGCCTTCTTTGGTTCCATTCAATTAGAGAGGGACTGAGCTCTCTTTTAAAATGTCTTTTTTAAAGTTTCTCCCTCCTCCAAAGTCTTAACTCTAAATATAAGGAAAAATCCTAAGAATGCAATGCTGCAACTTTGAAACTAAGGTGACAATGATTTGTACACCAGTTTGTTCAATGAATTCTTCCAGTCTTTGGACTGCAGCGTTCCATTCTCCAATGATCCATTTCCTATATAGTCACAATCCTTTCAGATATCATAAAATTGATAATGTACTTAAGAATGATTATTTCTCAGAGCTTAATCCTGGGTCCTTTGTTATTCTGAATTAACAATATTTCACAAATATGATCAATCCTGTATTTCAGTCAGTTCTATCTTTTGATTTCCTTGTTTTTCAGTTACCCTTTACTCTCATATATGTTTAGTGATTAGTTGATGTGTAGGATGGATACCAGGAAAAAACAGGGAAACAGATCCTATGCCAAGTCTAAGCCATCTAGTTGACACTAGCCACAAAAATACACACCTTTACTCAGGAACGTAACCTTATTCCATGAAGGGAAAGGGCTGACGAGTGCAACCCGAAGAAGCTGAATCATCTTACATTCTCCCCTTCTGAAAATGGGAAACCTTATGCACTTCCACAAAATATTCTTATTCTGCCCAAAAAGGCACTTACCTCCTCTTCCATTCTCTCAGTGGGGCAATACGCTATGTGCTTCTGTCATGTCAAGATCCAGCTACATCCCAAGGGAGAAGTCCTGTTGAAATCCACCTCAAAGGGATGGATATCTACCTTAGCTACTTTAACTGGTGCATCTAACTGACAGGAGCAGTGACAGAAGAGAATGACAGCCTACCCACCTGGGCATTTCCTGGGCAGGTACCCAATAGCCACATGGCTCCCAGGAAATGGGAGATGTGGATCTTAGGCCTTCCTCAGCCAGATGGGACTTAAAACTATAACTCCCACTTGCCAGAAAAGTGTCCTAACCACCACGGTATGGGTCAGATGAGTGGTGCTCAATCTTTTGGGGCCCATGGGCCAGATGAGTCACACGGGACCAGTCTGCAGGCTGGATCAGTCCCTGGGGCCTGGCACCATCCCCTCCCTGCCCCATATACCGGGATTGGGCCCTGGAGGCCTGGCACTGCACCCTCCAGGTGGGATTGGGCCCTGAGGGCCCAGCACCACTCCCTCCTGCCCCCACAGGAGAGGGGAGCCCCACAGGCCAGATGACAGTGCTGTGACTCAGACTGGGGCAGCGGGTCAGGTTCAAACACCCTTTGGTTAGACAGTGGTTGTCCTCTGCCTTCCGCTGAAGTAGGCTCTTTGTATAGAAAGAAATACAAGCCACTGGGCCAAAGTGAGAGACATGCAAGATGAAACCCAATTCTGTAGCCCTTTTTTCCAATATGCTAAGTATCAAAAAGTTCCTTCGTATGGTTCTCTATTAAAAGAATTGGGGATTCACAGTTTATGCACTTCACAAATGGAATGAGAATGTAATAGAACTTAAGTCGATGTGGATGGCTAGACCTTTCTGGATCACTTCTGAGCATGTACAGTAACCCAGATTTACTCATCTAAGGACTTTTCCAGACTAAGAGAGAGATACACAAGGAAGGCAGATGTCTGTGTTTTTGGCTGCTCTGCAGAGTAGAAGAAAATTATTTTTAGTAGCTAAAATACCCAAAAACCACAGAGTTGTCACTTAAACATCTTGAAGGCAGAACAGGTTCTTT